TGCGAAGTAGAAAATGGGAAAATAAAATTCTTTATTAGTTCAACCAGTAATTTAAAACTGAATTCATTCTCTAATAGTATACAATCTCTCGATCCCTCAACTGTCTAAAACAGAAGACTATCAGTTGGTGTGAGCGAGATCGTTACAAAATTAAACATTACTGCACGTGGATGGCATGTGGCATAACTAAATCTTACCTATATTGTCAGTTTCGTCTAACTGATACAGAGGGACTCCTGTAGCAAATCGTCGACAGATCAAAAAAATAGAGCAAAGAGCGAGGGTTTTAAGCATCGGCATTTTGATTGTCTTCAACGCACTTTTAAAGTTAAACGGTTATTCGGTTAGGTTATATAGGCAACACAACTATTCATATTATAATTAGTCCATCATTTGCCTTTGCTCAAGCTTAATTGTTTAAAAAGTTGTTTTCGGTTTCAGTTGAAAGCCTGTTTAATAACTTCAGTGTTCTTTTCGTACTGCTTTTGTAATGTATATCAGCTACTGTCTATATATGTTTCACTTAGACATCACGCATGTTTTGTTAAGGGAAAAACAGAACTAGTTTAAGAAAAGCAAATAAAATTTTTATATATATACATTGCTGTAGCGGGTGCGCAAAGATAAAATTCGTCGAAGTGGAACACGTTTTAACGGCTATCATTTTCAATTAATATAACCCTATATCACTTATAGTGCAACGGTCTTCAATCAAATTTGTTTCATGCAGCAATTAATTATCAATAACAAGCTTGCAATACTAACAGGCGAAGAAATTAAATTTTTTCAAACAATTTGGTGAAAACGCGAACAACAGCTAGTATTCAGACTGGAAAATATTGATTTTGCCTGAACATAAGCTTTAATTAAAGTGCGCTGAATCGAATCGCGCCAGGGGAAATAAACCCTACAAACGCTCATCTCTAAACAAGCTAAATATAGTTTTAAAAGTGGGCCTCCTTGCTGAGAAAAGTATGCTTCATTGATCCTAACGGTTTACATATGTAGCTTCTTTTGTTTATCGAATTCCTGAACGGCTCAATGCAACGAAATTCATTTTAAACCTCATCACATAATTTTCACGATGTTGACAATATGTTTGAAACTTTCATTAAAATTGATTCAACGCAACATCATGAAATTTCAAGACGAACCTAGCCTACGAACGGCCAAGAAATTCGGGTTACAACATTTACCGCTTTGACGTTATGGCTAACCTTGCACCAAACATACCTCCATGACTTCATGAATTTTATTGCATATTATTATCTTTTGAGTGTAAGGTATTGGCAATATTCAAACTGAAATGTACTCATTATGGAGGTTATAATAATTATAATCATTAAAAATTAATTAATTAATTTGAGAAGTTTTCTTTTAAAAATTATTATTATTAGCGCTCACCCACAACGTTTTCTTCCTCGAATAATGCGTCGGCAGGTAAACGGGGCGCGTGAAATACACTTCCAGGTGCGGCAACAAAGAGGCGAGCGAGACACAGTAGGAATGAGCCAATAAAAAACAAGTGGTGCATCTTGATCCCCTGTTCTTTGCAAGAATCAACTCCCTGTAGCGTCGATAAATGAACGAATACCGGAACTTAAACACAATACTTATGATATACTGATCAGTTGTGAAAGAATTTGAATATTGACAGATCGAGCGATTCTGCTATGAATAGATTTTTAAAAACACATCCGTTTTACAAGCACTCTTCATGAGTACTTGTCGCTCATTTTGTTTAACTAATTGGTAAGTTTAATAAAGAGGGAGTGTTCTGCGATCGTTCCGTGGTCCGAAGGATTTTCTAGTCGTTCTATTTTAGATTACTATACTCGTTAATTTGCCTTCTTCTGAGTTATCCATGACATTGGGCAAAAAATCGGCCGCAAAAAAGGGAATAAATGGAAATAATTCTTCCATACTGACTAATCTCGGAGAGGTTATGAAAGTTAATGCACACCTCCTTGAAAATTCCTATCACAATAATTATTGGTTACCCCTCACTCTCTATCAGGATTATAGAGGTTTCTTAATTTTAGGGAAGAAAAATTAAGCAAATCTTAGGCTAAGAACTCTTTTCTCGTTTTAGTATTCCAGAATGCTGTGTACTTGTTTCAATGAGAGAAAAATAAGTTATAATCTTGGATTTTCTTAATTAATTTTAAATCTTAAAATAAGAAATCCCATTCTCAAACTCATCAATTTTTCATGAAGAAAATACAAAGGAAATTAATGTTAAACGAGTGTTTGGAAACCAGATGAAAAACTGCTCATTTTGCATCCTTAATTTCTCCCTCTAAAATCATTTTGTTTGAGAAGTGATATCAAGTATTCGACTCAGTGTTTCATCACCAGATGACACAGCTCGAAGTTCGTCAAAAATACTCCTCTGCGCGTCGTATTTTCAACTCTCTTCTCTCTCAGTGTTTCAACTGGTGTTGAAACACTCCGTCTCATTCTTGATATATCACCTTAAAACGTCGAATTTGGAGTTGCC